TAATATTTTTAATGTAATTACAAAATTAAATTTGAATATTTTCCTGTTTCCAGGATACAGAGAAACAATCATTCAGAATATATATATATATATATATATATATATATATATATATATATATATATGTATGATTTTATATTTTTTTAAATTTACATTGAGCACTGTTCTATAAAAATAAAAAAATATCAATATGAACACTGTTCTTTCTTTTTATTTATATATATATATATGTAATTTCAGGTAATAAATCCCTTGGTATATAATCCAAGTAGATCCTAATAATATGAAATATTAAAACTGATCCGCAAAAAGAGTTCAATGTATTTATTATAACAGAGCATATAAATTATATTTTTGACACAGTATATAAATTATATTTTTAAATTTCTAAGGGAATCCAAAATTACCTCATAAGTATAGAATATTTCAACCAATGTCAATATGTTGGCTTTATATACACACACTTAAAATGTCTGTTTTTAAATCATTAACAAAATAGATTTAATTCTCCCTCCCGCAAAAAAACCCCAAAAAAACTCATTATAAATTATTTTTTATTTAAGTATTATTGCTTTTTTTTTTTTCATTAAAAGTTGTTGAATAGTCAGGATATTTATATCATTTAATTTGTCAATTAGTAAATTTATATCAATTAGTGACTTGGTTTGTTATATGCTATTAACCAAATCACTAATTTGCTGGCTTTACTGGATAATGTGCATTTAAATGTAAATTAAAAAAATGCACAAATTGGACTAATATTTAGAATTTCAGTTGTGATTTTGATTATTACAATTTTTACTCGTAAAAAAAAATAGATTTTGTTGAAAGATTTGCTCGGTTATGTAGATATTAATTGCTTGGAGAAATTATGAGTGGGAAGAATTTGAGTAATGAGTTCATTATGAGAATTGCTACCAAAGTCTTTGATTGTGGTGGGGGGATATGGATCATTATTTTGAGTATAGGTGTGAGAAACGTAACTTATGAAAGTGGAATTGTTAATCTGAGTTCAAATTTCTGCTTGACATGTGTTCATTTTCACTGAGATGCTCTAGAAAAATCCTGAACACATCTCTTACCTATCTCTTCCAGCTATAGATGAAATAACAGGGTAAACTGGTCTGTGTAACCTTGGTTGGCAGCTAATCTAGAAGTGAAACTTTGAAACCATGGTAAAAGGCAAAAGGAAACCATTCCTCCTGCTTTTCCAAGAAATAACAATTTACAGATGATATAGAAAAGGAAGCTGTGGCAAGCCATGGTCGATTATGTCCTGAATAGACATGATATTTATAATTACCTATTTCCTTTTCACTATTCTTTCCCCCACCCCCAGTTTGTCTCTTTGTTCTTCTTTTGTTTTATCTCTTTTGAGATATTATATAATCAAATGATGTGGTGATAGAACAATTGGAAGCTATATTTTGACTTGTAGGTTCCACTGAGTCTGTCTTCAAAATGGTTTCCAGTCTTCAAATAAGCTAGACTTGTGAGCATGATGAACTAGTAAAACTGGCCTAGCACGTACATCAAATTAGTGTTGATTATATTAATTCTTGCTGGCCGAGTTGAATTGATTCCCAGCTTTCTTTGCCGAAACAATAGACATCCTTACTTCTGTCTTATTTTCTAGTAAAGAATTTTAATATGACAGATATAGACTTTGTGATGAGAATTGATTTAATAAGGTTGAAGTTAAACAGTAAGTCACAAGCTCAGATGAAATTGCTTGTTGTGTTTCAGTCACATGTAGCTGACTTTCCTATTGGTCATACACAACAGTGTAATTAAGTTTTGAATTATTTTCCTTTAGCCTTCACATTTAATAATTTCCTTAATTGTAATTAGCAACATTTATAATTATGAAGACTTCTGTATACGACTACACACACAATTTAAAATGTCCTATATTTATGGGGAAAGAGTGCTCAGTATTGGAGACAGAGCATTTATAGATATAAACAGTGTAAACTTACAACTTTGCATGTTGACTGTCAGTTTCATGCCTCAAGTGATTAGCAGACCAGATCACTTGAGGTGTGAAACTGATATTCCATCATTCTGCTTTGATTACTATTTATATATGCACACACTCTTTCTTTCTTCCAGTCAATGTTTCTATAAAATGGGCCATATGTTACAATTTCAAGAATATATCATTTTTTTACGTTTGTATAACTGCACTGAACTGGGTGAGTATTGAGGATGGAAGACCATCAACTTGTGAAAAACTACAATCTGAGGAGCTGGCCTCTATTGATGGGGTGGGGGGTGGGGTACTGTAAAAAAAGATACAAGGATTCTCTAAAAAGTACTCATCTCCTGCATTATAGACTGACACTAATGATTAATGCTGGCTGATGACAGACTTTCTTGGTGCCACAAGATTTCCCAGGTTGCCACTCTCACCGAATAAATTTGCAGACTGACGGTATTGGAGAGGAAGGTAACCACCACTTCTACTGCAGAAAAATTTGTCTTTTGGTGGAGAGGTGGCATCTTGCCAATCACAAGTGAGCCTGTGACAGACATGGAAACTCCTTTCTCCTGTATCCTTGTGAGGCAAAATCATATATTATTTTATTTTATTTTTTTTAAGCGTTTCACTCCAAGCAAGGCGGGAATCCACTAGCACGCAAGGGGTTACAGAGAGTTGGAGCTAGAGCAAAGAGGAGTGATAGAGGAAAAGATGAAGAGAAGGTTAGGGGATAGATCAGGGCATCTGGAGATGTCGATTGACATTACATTTGAATACTTCGAGATTATATCTATCAGGGAAACAGGAAGAGGGGAGGGAGTTCCACAGGTGAGAAGTGCGAGACATGAAGCTATTGGAGTAGAAGAGACGGCTACACACACACACACACACACACACACACACACACACACACATACTAGTGTACCCATGCTGTCAAAATTGATGGCAAGAAGGAATGTATTATAAGTAATTTTCGTTTAATCCAAATACAATTTTTTATTTTTTTCTGTGTACCAATTGATGACCCACCTGCTCAAATTCAAGTTATATTTGTTTTTAAAAAGAAAAAAAGAACTGTGGTTAAATCAAAATTATGAGAGACAAACATGAGTTATGGGGAATATTAGTTGTGTTGAATATTTGTTTTACAAATTTAACTCTATTTTCTTTTTAGGGCGAATTAGGAAGAAATAAATAAATATAATTTATGTGTGTATGTGAGAATCAGTGAAATGTTTTTCTTTTCGAAAACAAATATAAGTTTGGGAGGGTCATCAGTTGAGTGAAAAAGTCAGTATGTGTATGCATGGTTCTTAGTAGTAACGGGGGATGCAAGAAATAGTTAGAATTTATTTCTTACTGTGAACTGTGTCGCCATTGTTTGGGGTAGACTCGCTTTTTGCATGTGGACATGAATGGGGGTCTTGTCAAAATTTTGCACACTGCCCCTCAACTGTTACACACACACATATATATATGGCATATTATATTTAAAGATGAGCTATTATTTTGCTACTATTTATGGAGTAAAGTGATTAAATAAGAAGTATTTATTTATTCACAGCATTGATATTTTTGTTGCTATGTCTTTTTGTTACCTTTTTATGTTAGAAAATACTTTACTATATACAGAGTTGGCTTGAATGTTTGCATTGACACATGCTAAAGTCTCTCTAGTAAAACAAATATAAAGTGTGTTTGTGAGAGGAAGAAATGAAGTTGTTTAATCTTCTATGTACTATTACCGCTGTTTCTTTGGTCTATGTGTTTTCACTTAGATTTTGTTATCAGCAAGTTGAATTTTAGTCTAAAGTTATTTGTTCTCTTTTAGATTGTAGAACAAACTGACATGTATACTGTGAAAAATAGTTTTTTATATTAGGAAAAAAGAAGATTGTTGTTGAATATAAAGTGTATTTTTGTCTAATTTGTATCTGTTAGGGAGTGTTGAAACATTTCAGCCTGTTCATTCCAGAAAAAAAAAAAAAGATCTTTAGTAAAATTTTGGTAAGTGGGTCAGTCTGGCAACAACAGCACTTGTATGAAATTTTTTGAATAAAAATTTCTTGGTACAATAGATTTCTCAAAAACTGACCAAACAAAACTGAATTATTTATTATTGAACCTTTTCTTGGTTGTTTTGTCTTTTATTCTTATTGTTTTGACCCAAGCAAGGCAATAAAGCCACTTGGATGCAATTGCTTACTAAATGTTAGAGAATATGAGAAAAACAACTAAGTAGATAGGACAATAAAAGAATAAGAATTAAGACAGAAGATAACAATATAGTATTTAAGTTTTTGAAGATCAAATTTGACTGGGAAGCAAAAAGTCAGAACAGAATTCCACAAGTGAAAAGTGCAAGAGAAGAAACTGTTAGCATAGAACTGACGGTTCTAGCCATTTCAATTGTAGATTGATGAGACCTTGTTATCAATCTAGTACTGTGCTTAAATTCATAAATTCTAGGTACCATAGTGGAAATCTCATTAGGACATTTGATTGGTCGGAGAACTTTTCAGCACATCCTTATATAAATAATGTATGTGATTGCCTGGTTAGTGTTTAAGGTATGAAACTGCCAGTCACCATGTAATTTTGATTTTCATGTACTACCCCCCCCCCAAAAAAAAAACCACACACATTATATATGTGGATTATTTCTGTATTATTGGTCTTTTGGCATATGAATAGTCTAGTATGTGTGTGCTCTGAAAAGATCACACACACACATACAGGTTGGTTGTTTCTGTTTAGTGCTTTATCACCCTCTATAGGTTATTTAATGCTGAAATCTAAATATTTTCTATGTAATTTTATTATATTTTGGGTGGTGTGGAGAGATGATAATAGTTTTAGTAATACCAGTTTTACTAATAACCAATAGCTGGGGGTGAGGAAGAGGTGGATTCATACATTTCCCAAGTGACTATAACAAACAATTGGAATTTGAACTTGGCTCTTCATTTAGCAATTCCGAGCCATTATCCATTACACCAACTATATATCCAAGCTTAGCGCACCTGGTATTCCCAAGCAGTCAGTCATCTAGGTACTGACCAGGTGCAATCTTGCTTAACTTTGGTGATCACACGGGAACTGATGTTTCAACATGATGTGGCTGTAAGCTTGTATATATATATATATATATACACACACACACACACACACACACACACACACACACACACACACACACACACAAGTGCTTTTGGTTATTCTATTAGCCTTTATTAAGGATGTTTTTTATTCTTATATTTTTTAACTGAATGTGTAGATTTTTTTTATGTTTCTAGTGTGATGAGAATGTTTTATTATTTTCCAAACAGTATCAACCCATTGTGGCTGTGTTCATAGTTGATGTTATTGAAGCACTTGGATCACATGAGTAATTCAAATTTCAAAGAAGCATGCATAAGTCATTTATTTTTTACATCAATTTTGACGGCAGGTGAACAGTACTAACGGTACTTAATGCTCATAATTTGATCTAAAGATCAGTGTTAGAAATCTCTAAATGGTATGGCTAGTATATATTAATAAGTTAATTGTTTTTATTATTAACTTTTTAATCAACTTTAAACTTTTTCTTAAAATCCCCTCCATTTTCAATATAAATCACTTCAAATGAATATTAAAATTGTTATCTATATTTTTTTATTAATTTTGTGACTGATTCTGCCCAATTTGATTCCTAACTCTTCCAATGGTGTACATTTGAACTTGTCCAGTTAAATTGAGAACATCTTGCCAAACTCCCTGGACATTCACAAAGACATAGCCAACATGTTAAAGAATGTAGCAGATTTTAAAGTGAAGTTAAAAAAAAAAATTTTTAAATTTAAAAAAAGTAATTTTTTTTTTTTTTTTGTTTGTAATACTTCTGGAAACTTTTATTGCTTTTTCATAATTATTAATTTAATTACATTTGACAAAACTCAATGCAATAAACTGGCATAAATAAAACCAATAAAAAATTAAGGGTAGATATTAGAAATAAAAAAGTGCTATAAAATGGTCATGCTTCCAACTCCCCTTTAGTGGGGGTCCAAATGTTGGGCCATATACCAGTGCCTCCTTGACCACTTACAGCAGCACTGCCACCACCACATTCTCAAAATGTGCTGGGGGGATTTTATCAAAGACACTGAATTCCTCAAGAGTGCTAACACCTTTAACATTAGAATAACACCACAAAAATCACAGCTATTTTGGGCATGTATTGAAAATAGAAAATGCAACTTTTGCAAACCATACTGTTTGGTGAGTGGATCTTGGGTCAAGGCAAGGGAGCTGCCATGAAAAAGACAGGGGTTCTTTAAAGAGGACACTTCTCTGTTGTATTTACTGAACACAACAAATAGGTTAGTGTTAGTAGAGGTTGCTGACAGGCGTTTTTGATGCTACAATATTTTTCAACTGGCCACTCTTGCTAAATAGATCTGTGGACACATTGCAGAGGAAAAGATGAAGCACTATAAACTCTTCCAGCCATTGGCACAGAAAAATCTGTCTTTCTCATCAAGTCACTCCAATTGCTGAAGAGACTAAATCTTTGGCACTATAAAGCCTCTAACAACTATCAACTCTCGCGACTACTGGTGGTACTGTAATAGTATGTTAAATAAGAGTAAATCTTCTATTCCTCCTCTTTTTACTCAATTTGAAATGTTAGCATCTGCTGATAAAGCAGAATGTTTTGTTTGTAAATTCTCTTCAAATTCTACTCTTGACTCATCTGGAGTATCTTTCCCTTACTTTTCACTTAGAACTGAGGCTGTTCCTTGATTTCTGCTATCATCTCTAAACTGGACCCCCACAAAGCATGTGGACCTGATGGTATCCCTGCAATAATCCTTAAGAAATGTGCTCCTGAACTGGATCCTGTTATCTCTAAATTTTACAATATAACTGCCTTGCTGCTTCTTGCTTTCCTCCTTGTAGGGAATCCTCTTCTGTAGTTCCAGTCTTTAAGAACTCTGTTGAAATGTCTGATCATTCTATCAGCCTATTAGCCTTCTACCTCTTTTTAGCAAAGTACTAGAGTCTCTAATCAACTCTGAACTGGTTAATCACCCCATATCACAGGATCTTCTTACAGATAAGCAATATGGCTTTTGCTTCACTAGGTCAACTACTGATGTGTTAAAGATTATTGCTGAAAGAATCTGTCAAAGTTTAGATAAGAATGATGAAGCTTGGGTTGTTGCTTTGGTTGTCTCAAAGGCATTTGACAGGGTTTGGCATACTGGTTTTCTTCACAAGTTAAAAGGTTATGGTACTTTTGGATTAATTTTTGAATTAATTCAATATTATCAAATCAAAAAATAAAAGTTGTCTTGAATGGCCACTCTTCTTGATCATTTAGCATTAATGCTGGTATCCCCCAGGGCTCTTTCCTTGGACTTACGTTGTTCCTAATTCTCATCAATGACCTTCCTGATGGCTTCAACTCTCAAGTCTCTATCTATGCAGATGACACAACTATTTACTCCTGCCTTAATAGTAAGTTCAATTGGTACTATAAAATAAGCAGCTGGTCTCAGAAGTGACTTAAAATCTGCTTGTTAATTTTAATGTGCCCAAAACAAAACATCTGAGTGCCCTCCCTTTCTGCCTTCCATCAGCATGGCTGATGCTAACCTCCAAGAGAGTGATTTGTTGCACCTTCTCGGGTTAATGTCCTCTGCTGTCATGAAGTGGAAAGATTATATTGAATCGGTTGCTAAGTCAGCAGCTAGGAAAGTTGGTTCACTGTGTTGAGTTAGACAATTTTTCTTGCCAAAATCTATCTTAATTATATACAAGTCTGTTATTCGTCTATACTTTGAATACTGCTGCCACATCTGGTCTGGTGCTCCTGCTATATATTTGGTGATTCTTGATAAATCTAAAGAATTTACAATGTTATTGATCCTGATCTGGTAACCTGCTTTCAGTCACTTTCCCATTGCCATAATGTAGCTTCCCTGTACCTTTTCTGTAAATAATTGGTAATGGTTCTAATGAATTTTCCTCTATGGTACTTAGGCTTTATGAATTTAAGTGCAGTACTAGATTTGCAATATGGTTTCATCATTTTACAACTGAATTGACTAGATGTAACCATAAGTTCTATGTTAACAGTTTCTTTTCTCACACTTCTCACCTGTGGACCTCACTACCGGCTTCTTGCTTTCCAGCCAACCTTGATCTTCAGAAATTTAGATGCAATGTCAATTGTTATCTACTGTTTTATTGATTAGTCTTCTTTTATTGTTCTCTCTTCTTAGAGTTTTTCTTATTCTTTCACACTCAGTAACCCCTTGTGTCTTAGTGGCTTTATTGCCTTGCTTGGAGTGAAATGATTAAAAAATACCCTGTGACATATGTGACCTCCAACCCCTCCCAATCCTCATTTGTAAGGCAAAGCCATGAAATATAACTTCTGGGTCCAAATCAGTCATTTTAAAAATGCTAACTAGCTGGCCAGTTTTCTTAAAATTTCACATTGAGACTTACTGAGACACTGTACTAATTTTAATTTTCTTTTTAAGCTCTAAAATTTTGACAGTGTTTACTGAGTATTTAAGTCAATAGAATTTGTAATATCTGAAGATAATAATTTTTGTCACATTGTTTATATAAATAAGTACAAACTAAACAAATTGATCCTATCTTTTTCTTCATTACAAGTATTACACGTTTATTGCCATTTAACTCCTTCAAATGTCATGATTTTATAAAATTAACCAATAAATGGTCTTTTATTGTAAAAGATGCTTGCATCATACCAGTATAGTTCATACATGTATTGAAAATGCTGATTCATAATATGTAAATTTCTGGTGTCTATATAAGTTATAACACAAATGCTTGTTTGAAGGTTGTGTTTATATTCATTGGATGGGTCTGCTTGGCTTGAATTTTTTTCTTTTTTAACTGAGATGACAAACACAATTGATGCTGCTGATGTCTCTGGTTTCTGGAGATTCAAAGCTTTGAGCTAGCACCTTCCCATTTCAATAAAATAGGTTTGTGATGTTTTTGTAGCACAAGTTTCATGGACTGAGTAAATTTTTACCCTACATTATTTTCACCAATTTTCTTAAACTTGTCTTGGGTTCCATTGCAAACTTTTTCAATTCTGCCATTTGTGTGATTATGCTGATTGCTATAGTCTCTATTTTTGATCAGTAAAAAGCTGAATTTACATCATCAGTACTTGACTTTGTATTATATTTGCCATTACGAGAGAGAAAAATAAATACTAATCTTACATCTTTGATTTTTTACATGGGCTTGAACACCCACCTCTGACCCAGGAAAAAAAAAAATAAAAAAATATAATGGCCATTTTAGGTTTGTTTTTAAAGTGACAAACATAAAATCTCTATACAAGGGAAAAATAAGTGATTATCAGTATTTAATTGGTAATGTGTTTAGTTCATGAACTTCATTTAAGATATTTGAATTGGCAAAAAGGTTAATATATAATTAATTTCTATGCATTGGACTTTGTTCTTTTGTCAAAATCCTCTTCATTTATTCATTTCATCCTTATCTATGATTTTCTGACACTTGCCACCATTCAACAAAACATAGTCAATTGTTTCTCTGATGGACTTGAGACTAAATTATCAAATTGAACTTGGTTATATATCAATCAATTCTAATGTTTATTTTGTGGTTGGGGTGTTTTTTTTATATGTTGGGGGTGGTAGGGTTATTAGTAAGCATAACTGGATCTGGCCATTATAATAGGGCATTCATGAAAATCAAACTCACAACACTCATGAGGTGATCTGTAAGTTCAGCTTGTTAACCATTGCGCCTTGGTAAGTGCCCAAAGTTGAAAGCAAATTATTAAATTTCAGATTTATCTTAGAGTTTGGTTCTTAAATACTGAGAGCTGACAGATTTGTTCAAATTGAATTACAATTAATAATTATCAAATATCTATCTATCTATCTATCTATCTATCTATATATATATATATATATATATATATATATATATATATATATATATATATATATATATATATATATATATTGCATTTTTTTTATTTTTAGGGTAAAGAAGTTTTTTATATAGCAATATGCTGTAGGGAGAAATAAAACCTATAAAAATGAGAAACTGGCAGAAGAATATATTTTAGACTAAATATCCTTCCATTTCTTCTCCTCTTTCATTTCTTTCTTTTGGATTATGTTTCCTGTTGTCGGACTCTGTTCTGAAAATTATGATTTTTGTATAAGGTAAACATATTAAATATGATAAAGAATTACCTTTCTTTTATTTTTTTGTTGATTGAAAAACAATAGCAAAATTACTGATAATTTATTACTTACTAAATATTTGTATTTTTCAGAAAGATGTTACCAATCAAGATGGCAAAGCGGTGACCAGAAGTGGCAGTAGAGGCAGCTGCTACAGAACTTTGGCCTGTACTAGCAGAGATTGTTGCCCCTCTGCCACTGGTACTCCTCTCTTCTTGGTCCAGATTAATCCGTGGTGCACCAATTATTTGATGAGAGCGAACTGTGGTGGATTATGTTCACCAAAGCTTCTAAAACTATTGCATTGTGTTCCATTGCGAACTTTGTCAATTCTGCCGATCGTGTGATCATGCCGATCGCAATCATCCCTATTGCTGATCAGTACAAGCTGGATTTACACAATCAGGGATGGGTACTCAGCTCTTTTGCTGTTGGCTACATGAGCAGCCAAGTAAGTAAAAATAAGTTAAATACTTTATTTTATTTTTGTCTTTCTAGAATAATGGTTATTGGCGTGAAGAATGAAATTAGCAAATCAAGTTCAAATTTCCACCTAGTCTGTTGCCATCACTTTTGCACGAAAGGCCTTTTAGGCATGAATCAATATGATCTCCCCTTATACACTGTTTATGGCTTAAATAGCAGGGTAGCCTGGGCTCTCTAGCCTTGGCTGGCAACCAGTCTGGGAGGACAACTTTGAATTCAAAATCAGGGAGAAATTGGTGGAAAACAACTCCACTGTCTTTACAAAATTTTCATGCCAAATTACAGATAATGAGTAAAAGGAATCTATGGAGAACCATGATCATCTGGGTCTTGAAGGGACATGGTATTTAAAAAGTAAACAAAAATCTCTTGAAGAGATCATATAGAAGAAGCATGTCTACATATTTTGTGTAATGATACCCCATTATTAATATATATATATATATATATATATATATATATATATATATAATGTGTGTATGTGTCAGAGTAAACAAACAGTAAAATAATTGTTAAGATATATTGGACAACCAGACTTACAGAGCTGTTTAATGTTTAGAAAAATGAATGCTGAGCATGGTCTTCTCAGGTGGTTTGTTCAGCAAATCAACAACATGGAGCTTAACAATTTAACCACTTTCATTTGAAACCAGAAGTATTAGGGGGGAGATGTACAAAAAAAAAAAAAAATTTCCAACTTTATCTGGGTTCAAATAACCCCAACCTGAACTTCTTAATGTGTCTACACTTGGTCATGATCGCTGACCTCCTGTAATTCAGTGCTGTCATTTAATATATATATATATATATATATATATATTATTGACAATTGAAAAACATCCAACTATACATTTCATCTATGAAGCTTCATCAGATTGAAGTAAAAAAAAAAATGAGTTGCGTGTGTATGCATTTGTGTGTGGTGTGTTTAAAATAATGAGAGCATATATTTTTCCCAACCTGGCGTTGCTTGCGACTAAAAAAGAGAAAGAAAATGAGTGACTTTTAAAAATAAAACACATGGATAAAAACAAATCTTTCATTTATTTTCTAGCCATTCTGAAGGATTTCTATTTCTTAACTTAGACACTTAAAGCAAAGCAATAAAACTTTTTTAAAAGTCACTCATTTTATTTTCGCCTACTGGCCTGAATGTTTGAGAAATAAAAAAAAATCCGGCAAGATATATATATATATATATATATATATATATATATATATATATACACACACACAGGGATGAGTTGAGCCTAATCTAGGAGCAGGTAAAAATTGCTTTGGTCAACCCCTTAAAAATGATGGCACCATGACAGTTTTTTTTGGAATTTGCAAAATTTATGTTTTTTATTTGTAAAAATTAATATTAACATAAAATCTTTAAAAAAATTGATAAAAATAAAGAAAAAGCATTAAAATCAAATATTTTTATTGACAGATAACGATGACTAGAATTATTAGCATTGATGCATTGCAGTGGGACATTTTCAAAAAAGAAATCAAACATTACAACATTTTTAGCTCAGAATATGTTGTGAAAAGAGGGAGTTTGTTGAATTACTGTATAAAAATATAAAGCTTTTTTAGCATAAAATCAAAATAACTATTGAAACAAAAAAAAAAAAAAAAAAAAAATATATGGACAGTAAATGCCAAAATGATCCTTTACTTTCCAACATGAATATTAATTAGAAATTTCTTATTGATAAAAATATTTTTACAGCTAATTTTTGTTACAAAGCATTCTGAAGAACTTCCTCTACACAGGCAGTTTGTCAGAATTGAAAAACATTAATTTTCTATTATTTTAGATGGGGGTCCTGTTTACAATATAAATACAATGTCAAACTGATCCCTGACTTTTTGACATACATGTAGTTTTCTTTCCTTTTTGAGAGGACCACTCTATTTAAGTATTGCTGTTTTAAAATGAAATGGATTTTATATATATATATATATACACACATACACACACACATGATGCTCATTTCATTTCCGCTAACAGAAATGTTGCAAGATTGAAAAAAGTTGTAAACATTTGTTGCAGTTCCCTTCAACAACATATTTTCTTCAAAATACATCTGCATAGGGCACTAGGCCAATTTTTTCTTTGGAAAACCATCCATGACCACCTTATTAAGAAAAACTTAACATTTTTCATTTTTAATTAAAAGAAAACTTTTTTTTTTTTTGCTTTTCTTGAAGTTGAAGGCAAAAATTTCCATGGATGTGGCTTGTTTTTAAGGCCACTGTGGCATTAACTCAGCCCTATATATATATATATATATATATATATATATATAATCAATGTTATTTATCTGGCCCTGATGAGTAGTTTATATGTGATACTTCGTTGGTTGCAAAGATAAATCTTTTGAACTTTCTATTCATGTGTTATATATAATGACAGTTTTGATAACTTTTATTTTGACATGTTTCACCAATCAGTGTCACAAGAAAAACAAATCATTGGTTGGTAAAAGCTGTCAAAATAAAATTGTTTCAAATTGTCTTAAATATTTACCATTCTATCAGATTCTCATCAAAACTTTACTCATATATTTACCTTGGAGGCATGGTGGAGTAATGGATAGCAACTTGGATTGAGAAATTGGAGAGCTGAGTTCAAATTCCAGTTGAGTTCATTGTATTCACTTATTTGCAAATACCATTGGGGAAAGGTATGAATCCATCTCTTTCCCTCCAGCTATGGGTTAATAGCAGGACAGATAAGGCCCTATAGCTTTGGTTGGCAATCAGTCTAGGAGAAGGAAAACTCTGAATTCAAACCACCTGTTGCCTTATAGATCTTGCCTCTAACTTCGGAGAAGAGGGATGGTGTAACCTCAACATTTCTGCTTTCAAAACAAACTGATAAGCCATTGCATTATTCTACCTTGAATGTCACCATAAACAAAATACACTAGCTGAATAAATGATGATATTTACCATCCCGATATATATATATATATATATATATATATATATATATATATATATATATAAAATGAAAACTTAACGCATCATTGAAAATTCTATTATAATGTATTTCAACAAGCAAGTTTTTAATACTTGTCTCATCAGATATATTGTCTGGATAAAATTAAACCATTTGTAATTTCGGTCCAATGAGACAAGTATTAAAAAATGACTTGTCGAAATATAATTTATAATTGGGTTTTTGATGATGCATTGAGTTTTTCCTTTGATGCATATCGTACTGGTTTGTATACTATACATTGAACTCTCTTTATGGATATATCTTTTTAATATTTTATATTAAAAAGACCTACTTGGATTATCTTTTCCACTTATGGAATTGATTCTCTCTCTCTCCCTCTCTCTTATATATATATATTCATCGAGTCTGATAGAAACCTCAACAGAATGCAGAAAGCACTGGACGGCCATTTCGTCCTATATTTGGGACTCATCAGCAGTGCGCATCCACTACCAAGAATTGAAACCCTGACAGGTTGTCAAGCAAACATCATACCAACTGTTCCAATGGGCCTCGGTGACAAAGAGATTGCAAATCAGACTCAATATAGCGCCGCTCACTCACATATTCCGTGGTGGAAGTCTACTGAGATTCTCTCTAACCATAGGACTGTGTCCCCAGGAGCCACGACTACTATCACCAAGCCGCTCACTCTAGAGCATTAGAAGCCGGTTCAAGCAATGATGTACATGACAGAAATTATTAGGAGGATTTGATAATTATATTTAAGTAATTCATCGAGTCTGACAGAAACCTCAACAGAATGCAGAAAGCACTGGACGACCATTTTGTCCTATATTTGGGACTCATCAGACTTGATGAATTAATTAAATATAATTATCAAATCCTCCTAATGATTACTATCTATCTATCTATATATATATATATATATATATATATATATATATATATATATATATATAATTATAAATTAATTGATTTAAAATGTTTTTTTTTTGCTACACAGTTCTAACCATGTTTCAAAAATGGAAGCTGAAAGCTTCAAATTTAATTTTGTAATTAAATTAAAGATATTAGTTCCATTTCATCCTCAAACGAATTTTGGAGTAACTTTTAAAATTACTGGGTTTTAAAGACACAGCAAAAATCATAATTCACGTTTCCAAGGATACAGAGAAATCCAATTCAACCAGACAAGGGGTGTTTGCGTGTTCATTATCACTGTATTTTGATGTATCAGTTATTAGTTACGTTTTGGTAGGGGTAGGGATGTATTTTTCAATGAAATCTGACATCTGTTAAATGCATGTCTGGATTTTTTTTTAAAATTTTGATTAACGGCAAAAATTCTTATGGCATTTTGCATATTTAAAGATTTTTGGGGGTGTTTAGGTTACAATACGTTTAATTTAACTACGATTTGAAAAATATTTTCACTTTTAATTTTTAATATGCTATATTTCTTTTAAGAACAAGTAAATCTATTAGAATCCCTTACAGTATGTAAAATTATTTTCGCATCAAGTATAAGTATGCATATTACTAAGTCACAATTTTTTTTTTTAATTATATTTAAATATTATTTAAGTAAAATTTATGACAATGACGGCAAAAATAACTAATTAATTTCACTGATTTAGTAAACTTTTATTTTTATATAAAACCTAGTAATATATTGTTTCTCATGTCGTACAAAGGACATGGGTCATTCAGTGGCTTACATCTTCTAGCTTTTCATATTAATTTCATTTAACTGTAGGTGTTTTAAGTGCTTGTAGTGCTTTGAGGGAGGTGTTTAGATTAGAATACATTTTATTTAACTACAATTTTAAAAGATGCTTAGGTTAGAATTCGTTTTATACAACTTAGATGCTTAGGTTAGAATTCGTTTAAATACAACTTTAAAATATTTTCACTGTTTTAATAGACTATATTTCTTTTTAGAAGAAGTAAATGTATTATGGCGGACTCTCCTATTGTGAACGATAAATGAGGGACAGCTGTGG